CTCTCTCTCTCTCAGAAATAAATAAAACATTTTTAAAAAATAAATAAACAAACATGAAAACATTTTTTAAAAAGGAAATAGAACCTTAAAACATCAACAGTATTCTTTTTTAAATTGAAACATAATTGACATATAATGTTACATTAGTTTCCAGTGTCCAACTTAGTGATTCCACAAGTCTATAGGTTATGCTGTGTTCACAAGTGTAGCTACCATTGTCACCATGCAACACTGTTACAATATCATTGACTGCATTCCCTATGCTGTGCCTTTAATTTCCATGACTTGTTCATTCTAAAACTGGAAACCTGTACCTCCTAATTCTCTTCACCCATTTTGCCCATCCACCCACCCTCTCCCCTCCAACAGCCATCAGTTTGTTCTCCGTATTCATGGATCTGTCTGCCTTAAAACATCAGCAATATTCTAAACAAAATCCGCAATCATCCCTCATCAGTCTCATTCAGGCCTATGTAATTAGTTCTTGTTCCTCTTGACCTTGCATTAACAGCCTCACTAACCCATCTACTTCTCAAGTAGAGTTCTTGAAATCCTGATTCAGTTCACTGGTATGATTGTTTAATCTATACCATAAAAAGCCTGTACTCAACAATACTTGGCAAAAATCCTCTTCCATGGGGCTCTGAGATAATCTTTCTTTGTTGAAGATGAAGCACTCTGGCTTGTACCTGATTGCAAGTGCTCTCAGGGACATGTCAGATTAAAATATACAAAACTATGTGTAAATGGTGAAAGACGTACAATATCTCTGGTTAACCTGCTACTGATCATTTTTAAAAGTGAAAGATCTGATGTGAATTCATTACAAGAATAATAATGCAACTGACAAGGGCATGTAGTTGTTTCTGTGGCATACAAAACAATATAAAAGTCAATTCCAAACAGTTTTTAGATAAAATATTCATAAACATAATGATTAACCCTATTTTCAAAGAAGACAGGGTATTATATCTAATTTAAAAAAATAGATGAACATAATCTTTATAGAGACAAAATATTCTTAAATAGTAATATACCATGAATATACTGAGCATACATTTAGAATATAACCAAAACATATCAAGAATATCAAGTAAAGATTTTCAGTAAACTGGAGTATGTCTTAAACATCTATATAGTGATAAAATTATATAGTGCTGAAAATTCCTCAATTGAAACTAATGGCCTACCAGATGCTAGACTCAAAATAAAGAAGCAAAGTTGAGATCAAGTTAATGTTTAAAAACTGTTTAACTTATTATTGAAAACACTAGACTGTAGTCATCTAATATCTGGCAATGCATCAGAAAGACTCGGACAAATAGAAACATATCATGGCCAGTGATGACACTGAAGGATCTTTAGGACCTTCCTATACAACATACAATTTCTTAAATACTTATATTAATAACATTTTGCCTATACCAATTACAATTGGTATACCTAGGGAAGACTGCACATCTCTTCTGATTTGGCAACTCTTCCCATGCATCTCATCAATAGTAATGTATCAAATAAACATAATTATTTCTAGAACATCTCTTTTTATAAGGTGAAAGAACAAATCTTTTGTGATTTTTCCATGGCTTCCAAGATTTGATTAAGATAAGTTGATGGATTACTGAAAAATACTACTTGGTTCCCTATGTAACCACAATGATGATAAAAGATTTTTAACATAAACATAGGATGCAACATGACCATCAGGAACCTCCTTTTTTTTTGTCAGAAAGAAGGCTTTGCTTTCTTAAATAATCAAAGACATCATAAAGTCAACATAAACCATATGAGGTTATTCTAGTAAGACAAAATCTTTTTTTTTTATTGAAGAAGATTACTTAGTGAAGCAAAACCTTTACAACCTGTTATTTGAGAGAAGACCAATAATCAAAAAATAGCATGTTAAAATGAAGACCAAATTCTAGTTTTGCATCAGTATATATTTAATACTGAAGTTCTTTTTGGAAATCTAATAAGCCCATCAAACCTTAGCCAACTTTGATCTCAACAAATAAAATTCCTTTTCTATGAACCTTCTGCCACTTTCTGTATGCATATACATCCTTTATAGTACAACTTCTATAAGTGGCCAAAAAGAATATGTTCATTAACAGACCCAAATACATGCAGTTTCTCTGTAGCATATAAAAATAAGAAGCAAAAGCATATAAACCCAAAATTATGCCTAGTAATGAATGTATTCTCTTAGTTAGAAATGGCCTAGGTATCTAATGAATATCCATTAATTAACTCAGTTTAATACCAGCCCAAAGTTTTCAGTTACCTAAAGATCTTATACATTATCTTCAAGCTGACATACTACAAAACATAACTACTGTTAAAATAAAGTTTGTCAGAATAGTGACTCAATTAGGCTAAACAAATTTATGTTTGTCATAGTCTCAAACATTTAGTAGAGGTAATGTGAGCTCAATGAATTAGTAAACCGGTATAAATTTAAGAACATACTTAAATAGAATAAAAATCTATATGTATATTATACTTAACACTGATAAGTTAGAAAAGACATAGCTGATTTTAGTAAACTAAATTTATTAAATTAGTCTTATCTGCCAAAGACGTACCTAAATTATGCCAACTTGAATTCTTAAATTCAACAAATTGAGTTTGTTTCTTTAGGAATACTCTTAGCATATTAAAAGTCTTGAAAGTTTAATGTCCTTGTTTTCAGGAAATTTTAGCAAGATTCTACTTATCTAAGCACTTATTTCTATAAACCAATGAGAATAGAGCTCCTTTAAGAAAATATTAGGAAAATAGTACATGCAAAGGCCTTTCTGAATTACAGACAGCATCGTCATCATCATTATTATTCAAGCTATTATGATAGGGAGGATGTTCATTAACAAAGAGCATCTCAAAGGAAAGGAAGGGGACCAGGAGTTCTTAGAGGCAGGTATTCTTCTTTATATACCATGTTGTTTCTGATTGCCTTGTTTGTTTTTTGGTTTCTGTGCTTATGACTTGTCTCCCTAACTTAATTATAGGCTCTGAGGGGGAAAAATATGTCCTATATTGATTTGTATTTCTCCTCCTCCCCCTCTCCCTCCTCTTACTCACTTTTTATTGAAGTATAATTGACACACGATATCCTGTTGGTTTCAAGTATACATGATAGTGATTTGACATTTTTATACACTGTGAAATGATCCCCAGAATAAGTCTAGTTACAATCTGTCACCTTATGAAGTTATTATGATATTATTGATTATATTCCCTATGCTGTACACTACTCCTTTTGTCTAACACTTAATGTTCCATCTCACCTATCCATAAGTTATTGATGTTTCTCTTTTTTGATGTGCTAAACAGTAGACTTATAAAATGTAAGCTTTTCATAGTTGGAAAATAGCATCCAAGAACTTTCAAAGTCACATATTTACCTCTTATCTACAAAGAATTCATGGGTAGGCAAATCTTTTTCTCTTATTGCTTTCTTCCTGGTTGCATACCTAAGGCCAAGCTTTTTTTTTTTTCCCCCCTGGGTGATCACTGAGTTCACCTGTATGACAAAATTCAATGCTTAGTGATATTTCTTACCACCTTCCTGCTCGCCAATGTACCTGTCTCAATGATTCAGCCTATGAGCCAGGGTATTGTTCAGAATATGAAATGTTATTATGGACGAGGTTTCATGAAGAAGTTTTTGCATTGTGTAGGTACTAGAAAAATCTTACAATCTTATGGTACCAAAAATTCTCTTTTAAATGATGCTCATGCTTAGAATTCCATTTCAATTAAAATATCAGGGAGAACTTAGGGGGAAATAGGCTGGATATTTAAAGTGTCTGTGGAGCTAAGGACATTGAAGCATTTAGGATGAGGCCTTAAAAACAAATTATAATACACTTTTGATGATAAAGAATGCTTTGTTACATCTATTCAACAAGACTTAATGACAACATAATAAAAAGAGTAGGCTAATAAAAGTAGATTACTCTTTTAATTTTTTTAATGTTTATTATTATTGAGACAGAGAGAAACACAGCATGAGTGGGGGGGGGGGACGGCAGAGAGAGAGGGAGACACAGAATCCGAAACAGGCTCCAGGCTCTGAGCTGTCAGCACAGAGCCCTATGCGGAGCTCGAACCCACAAACCGTGAGATCATGACCTGAGCCGAAGTCAGACGCTCTACCGACTGAGCCACCCAGGTGTCCCAGTAGGTTACTCTTAATAAAAGAGTAGGTTAATGTTGACAAGAGGTTAAAGTGACACTGTACCACCAATAACAAAAATGTGAAAGAACACCAGTGAAGTCAATGAAGACCATTTTAGTCAAGGAAACAAAATAACTTTAGAGGAGGCTGCTTCAGTCTCCATGGTAGTAATTACATATACAGAAAAGCAACCACATGCTGTCTAAGAGGTTATGTATTTGTACATTCTACATTCAGCTTTTAGAGAAACAAGTGCAAAAACTTACAAGAAGGAAGAAAGGAAGGAAGAGAGAGAGGAGGGAAGGGAGGGAGGGAGGGAGGGAAGGAGGAATAAAGAAAGCAAGCAATTCTAGGTTATGTCATAGGATCAGTACAGAGACTCCAGTCTCCATCATCTTCTACATCTGGCTGAGCAAGATGGTCTTTAAGACCCCTTCTAGATTCTAGCATTCTTAAAGTCTTATAAGTGACAATCAGTGTTGTTCATGATGAGCCCATGGTGCTACAGGTTTTTAAATCATTCCTGATTCATTAGAGAAAAGTTCTGTTTAGACCAATATAGTTATAATATTATAATTTGAAAATCTGGGATCCTAAATGGAAAAATGTTACCAATCCACCTGAATATTTAGTTTACCAAAACACTTCATCCCCTGATCATTCTGGGCCATTTACTGTATATTCTTTGTAGGTAGAGTTTTGTTTTTCTTAAAAGAAAGGGGAATTGTAAGGGAATATATCTCAAGGGTTAGATCCTTGGCTGTAAAGTCTCCCTTGGATTGCTTTTGGCTGTTGGCTGTAGCAACTTGTTTTCTTACAGAGATGAAGCATCTGGTTTTTGTTATCTCAATGATGCTGTCCTGGGAATATTACGATTGCGACGGAAATTTGACCGTATTCTCTATGTGGATTTGGATCTGCACCATGGAGATGGTAAGACCTTCATATTCAAAGGTGATTTGCTGCTAGGACAGAAGGTTTTTATCAGTAAAGCTGCTTCTAGGTGACTGGTAAAAGGAGAAATGCCTATTACTTTTGAAATTTTTCTAATTGAGAATCCTGAAGTAGGTAAAATAGATTCTTCTAACTGACGTAATTCTTTGCTAAGCAAGATGCTTTAAAATACCAGGTTTCTGTAATTTCCCCTTTCCTCTCCTACAAGCAAAGTTCTCTAGTAAAGAACATTAAGAAGTGGAAATCTTGTCGGGGTGCCTGGGTGGCTTAGGCGGTTAAGCATCCGACTTTCGCTTAGGTCATGATCTCGCGGTTCATGGGTTCGAGCCCCGCGTCGGGCTCTGTGCTGACTGCCAGCTCAGAGCCTGGAGCCTATTTCAGAGTCTGTGTCTCCCTCTCTCTCTGACCCTCCCCTGTTCACGCTGTCTCTCTCTCTCTCTCTCTCTCTCTCTCCTAGAAATAAATAAAAATAAAAATAAAAGAAGTGGAAATCTTGTCTAGTGTATTCTCAGTGCTCAGTAACCTCCCTCAGGCCACTTCCATAGGTTCTAAGTGAAATCTTCCATTAGAACTGATAATCTTTTTTTTTTAAATCTTTTAAATGTTTTTATTTATTTCTGAGAGAGAGAGAGAGCGTGAGCAGGGGAGGGCAGAGAGAGAGAGGGAGACACAGAATCTGAAGCAGGCTCCAGGCTCTGAGCTAGCTGTCAGCACAGAGCCCAACGCGGGGCTCGAACCCACGAACTGTGAGATCATGACCTGAACCGAAGTCAGATGCTTAACCAACTGAGCCACCCAGGTACCCCAGAACTGACAATCTTGATGCTTCTTTTAAGATTGAATCAGTGTATGATGGACTAACATTAAGAAATTTTCACCAATAGGGATACCAGCTCATGTAGTGATCAGAATCTGTGCCACTTTCTTTGTGTTGCTAAAATATTTAGTGCTACACAGACTCAGGGGATCTCCTCTAACTTTTAACAGCAGCAGAATCTTGATTTGCCTCACCCCATTAATGCCCTCTCATTACACTTCACCAAAGGATGTTACCCAAAACCTCATATGTACTTTCCATCCAAAATGTAGAACTTTGGTGACAGTTACCCACAGTCTGCTTCTTTAATAAATCCTGTGTGTGACACATGCTTCTATTGACCTAGGATCACTTATCTGGTAAAATTCATTAAGGATATTCCCTCCTTTCCCCCACATCAGTGACTGCTGCTTCCCTATTTCCATGGATTTTTGGAGACAAACTAATATAATCAAGACATAAGTGAGGAAAAGAATATCATATGACAGAGGCTAGAATCAGCTCTCCTGCCAAAACAGAAAAAGAAGGAAGAACTTGTGGGAAAAACTTCCCCAAGGAGCTCACCTAGATAGATACTAACATGGAATGGTGACAGAAAATTAAAGGTAACAGAGAAAGGCAAAGAAGTAAAGCAGCCAACATACTACTTTGAGAACAATGCCCACTGGCTATCTGAATACTTAACCAATGTGAAACACAGCCTTGATCAAAAACCATCAGAGGCTCCTTATTGCCTATAACAAGGGTAACATTTGGCCCATAGCTTGTTTTTGTATGGCCAGCAGGTGAAGATTTTTTTTTTTTACATTCTTACAAGGTTGTAAAGAAAACAAAGTGCAATAGAGACCATGTAGGCTTTGCAAAGCCTAAAATATTTGCTATGTAGCCTCTTGGTTTGCTAATTCTTGGCCTACAGCATTGGTTCTCAAACCTGCACATGTAGCAAGATGACCTCTGGGAAGTCTGTTTTAAAATGCAGAATCCTGGGCCCCATGCACCAGATATTCAAATTCAGTAGGTCTGGTATGCAATGCCAAATCTACATTTTAGCGACACACTGGCTGTTCCACAGGACACACTTTAAAAAACAGTCCTCTTCAAGTTAAAGTCCACACTCTTTACCCTATATTTTGAGGCCTCCCTGAAAGAGACCTTACTTCCTTTCTCCAGTCTCCTCTCTTACTACTTGTTGTCTAGGTTACTCCACTCAGTGATCCCCAGACACATCTTAGTGTTCTCACCTCTCTGACTTTGCATTACTTTTTTGTAATTTAGTTTTACTTTTTCTTCTAAGTTCTACCCAGGAGCTCAAATTCTAACAGTAGCAGATTTGCCCTGACCACTCCAACCCCAGTATTCTCTCCCCTCCTCAAGTCCTATATTGTTTATATCTCTGATTTGATATTTAATTATATATTGTATTGTTAGTTAAATCTTTAATGTGTCTGTGTCTTCTCCTCCCATAGAAACTTTCAGTTCCTCCAGAGCAGAGATCAAGTTGTTTACTTCTTTCTGTCCTGCACAATGGCTTGAACAAACAGAACTATGCATATAGCAGTGGTTCAGTAAAATATTTGTTGAATGAATGAATGACTATGAAATTCAAATTATTAGTATCAGAGCTCAAGAATAGAATCAACTCTATTGAACCACATAAGAATGAAATGACTGTCACCTGAAACCGTTCTTTCCATTTGCAATGTTATTTCTACACCATTTAGAGTTTCCTGTTTTAGCCAACTTTTATGGTGTGTTTCATTTCAGTTTATTTCCCCTCTTCAGCACCTCCCTTCCAGTGACCTCTGCCCCACCTCCAAACTCTTACACATTTGGTTTATTTTAAATCTCCCATGATTCCATAACTAGCATCCTGTGGTGGCTTCACAAGCACTCTTAGCCTGTCCTCACCTTCTTTCACCTTCTTTTGTTTACCTAACCACTGTTCTCTTTCACACCAAGCCCCATACCCTCCACCTATCTGTCTCTGTCCTTTTTTTAAAGTATGATTTGCTAACAATACCTAATGGCATTTCCCATGAGAGGAGATACAAATAGCTACTAAACATAAAAGGTGCTCAACACTCCAACACTCAGAGAAAGGCAAATTAAACAAGATCATTTTTTCTGCCTAAGGTTAAAAAGAATAATAACACCCAGTGTTATTCTCAGGGTGTGAGAAAACGGGAACCCTCATACATCACTGATGGAAGTATAAATTGGTTACTACCTTTCTGGATCAATAAATAATCAGGATTTTTATGAATTGTTCTTGTTTTATACTTCAGTTGCTAAGTTAAAATGCTATTTTAATTTGTTTTGTTTTCTTTTGTTTACTTAATGCCTGTGCCTGGAGCCTTTACCTGATTTTAACTGCCTCCCTAGGGTGAAACATAAGGCTTGGGAAATTCAAACATACTTGTGATATACAAATACAGTTAATATTTTTCTAAGGTCTCTTTTGGCCTCTAATGAAGACTGAAAGCATTAAGCAAATGCAAGGCCAGTTTCTTTATTTGAAGTATAAGAGAGAATAGTACATGAATTTGCTAATAGTCCTTCCATTTTACAGATGAATTATCTGAATACAGTATGACACTATGTGATTCTGGGAGGAAAGGTGTGGAAGCCGGCAGTGCATTTATCTGAATAAGTAGTGGCTTGTAAGAGGTGCATCTTCTATCTCCCAGACCTCTATTCGTTTTCTGCCTCTGTTTAAATGGAAAGGAGACACCTTTCTAGAAAAGTTCCTCCCACCACCATCTTTCTTCAAGCTTTAAGTTTTTTTCAATGTTTTATTTATTTCTGAGAGAGAGAGAGAGAGAGAGAGAGAGAGAGAGATAGCGTGAGCAGAGGAGGGTCAGAGAGAGGGAGACACAGAATCTGAAACAGGCTCCAGGTTCTGAGCTGGCTGTCAGCACAGAGCCCGACGTGGGGCTCGAACCCACGAACAGCAGGATCATGACCCGAGCCGAAGTTGAACACTTAACCAACTGAGCCATCCAGGCACCCGCAAGCTTTAAAACTTTGTTATAAAGACATTATTAAGGGAAAAGGCCAGGACTCTCAGCCTTCCATGTTTTAGCAAGAAACGTGTACTGTAAGCTGCTCAGACTTCGGGTGAAGTGACTGCATTTATAACCAAATCTGTATCATAGAGAAGTACTTTATAATTAGGTTTTTACTACATAATGCTTAATGTTTATACTGGTCATGTTTTTCAAAGGTCACCACATTGTACTTCTTTGGAAAAAATCCGGAGAATTTAACTGGACCCACTAAAACAAAACAAAACAAAACAAAACATAAAACTTCCATGATGGTGCCAGTTTCCTCTATTCAGCTCCTTTGATAATGTTTCGATTCTGACCTTGAGCCCTCCCCACCTTTTAGAAGAGGTTGTCTAAGAGAGCCTGGACATCCCGTTGCTTAGAAAGGAGAAGTACAGTTATAACTTGCCATGAATATAAAAACCCCAAAACTTCACCGGGTGGGGGGGGGGGCAAAGTTCTACCTCATCCTGTACCAACAAGATATCAAAGACGGGAGAGTTTTGTTCCTTTTATTCCTCAGCTTGTTAGCTTTATTATTGCGATCCTCTATCTTACTTCCCACAGCTGCTTCCTAGCATTTCAGTTGTTGAAAATGGGAGTTGCATATATAAAGTGATTCTTTTGCTGTTTTTTCCTCTGATAGGTGTAGAAGATGCCTTCAGTTTCACCTCCAAAGTCATGACAGTGTCCCTGCACAAATTCTCCCCAGGATTTTTCCCAGGTAAGTAATCTGTGTGCCCAGTATTATATTTGAGGAATAAATACTGCAGTTCTTCTATACATTTCTTATATTTCATATTTGGACAGTTACATGCTATTAATACTTTATTGGTGCTACTTTATCCAAAATTTTAACACAGATCATTTCAGGCAACAATGATAGGAGGGATATAATACTGCTTGTTTTTCCAGATGATTTTTATGGACTGTCAACAGACAGCTCACTTACACTTTACTGTCTTATCACATAGGACAATATAACTGTGTAACTCCTAACATCCTGACAAGTGCAATGATATATTAATATTATATCAATCCAAGGCATATGAAAAGTCAAGTAAAGTAATCTTTTTGTCCAACTTGATCTAGCAAAATGGAAACTAAGGTTTTTCCATTGTCTTATGGTTTTCCTCTTTCCCCAACGTTGTTTACAGCAGTTACTTCCCTATACTATTTTTCATAATTTCATGCTCTTAGAAATCATCGTTAATCTAGGACTATTCTTCTACTTGGCCTTTTACTCTTTTGCATTCCTAACAGAATCCTTCAAGTTGTCTAATGCTCATGTTCTTAAAACTGTTCACAGCGCTCCTCTCTTTCACAGGAACAGGTGATGTGTCTGATGTTGGCCTAGGAAAGGGACGGTACTACAGTGTAAATGTGCCCATTCAGGATGGCATTCAGGATGAGAAGTATTACCACATCTGCGAAAGGTATGGCAGTAACACTGGCCCAATAGCAATTGGATTGCATTTCTGTAGGGTGAAATGGCCCCCAAACTTACAGAATTCTTGTTTTCAAGGAACAGTTTGAAAGACAATATATACCTATGTCACTTTTCTATACTGCATTATACTTATTTGATCAGGTTACCATCCCTTGTGTAGGAGAAATGAGTGTTTGGAATTGAGCCACACTCTTGGTTTGATCTTACCTGCTGCCCTCTTTGATCGAGGTCATCCCAAGAGCAGAACTTCTAAGCTGTCCTGGGTTATCCCTTGCCTGCTACTTTAGCTAAAACCTATACGTATGTGATTTCATTAACCTGAGAGGGTTCATTTCAGTTTTCTCATTATGGAGATCTGCTTCAATCCACTGGTATGAATATTAGAAAGTTCTTTATTGTAAGTTCTTCAGTTCTATCCTTTGTGTTAAAATTGAGGTCAGAAATCTGTTCTTTTGACACTGTGGTTAAGGATTAAATTACAGCCACTTGTAGGAAGACAGTTTGGTGCCAATGTGTAGACCATTAGGGCTGTAAAGCCCTACAGAATGGGGCGGGAAATAAATTCATATTCATTCCAGTTGAGATTGGTCAGGTACAAATTCACTGCTGACATTGGCAGTAGAGAAAGGGAGTCTGACTAGAAGTCAGCAAGTCAACATTACTTAAAGTAAGTTGATCAAGGTGCTTTTGATTTCTAGCCCCACTCATCTCAGATTTCTCCCAGCCTTTGGTGGACACAGGGACTTCCCAAAGGAGTCTGCACTGGCCATCATCACTGGCAGTTGTATAAACAAAGTAGACATATTAAAAAATAAAAACTTGATGCTTCAAAGGTGCCTCTTAGCTCAAGAGATTTGGCAAGCCAAGTCATCATGCAGCAGCTCTAGCCTCTTCATGATTTTAATCATATCCCCTGGCTGCCTCTGTACTGTCAGACTGAAAGGGCCTTTATTTTTGGAGCCTGCCATTGATGGTTTTAATTGCCTTTCTTTGTTCCGCTCAGGCTCTGTTCTGTCCTTGAGATGTGCAGATCAGAGCTGCTTATGTAATTTTACCAATAAAGATATTCTGTGGTTCTGTGTAAAAGGAAAATTATTTTGTTTTTCTTTGAATCCCCTTCTTGAGGGTACTCAGTATTTTGTTTTCCCATTTTTGTCACAGCAGGAAACTAGGTTTTTCTCTTCAGTGCTCTGTCCACAGGGTTTCCTCGAGCTCTATCCTGGACCTTAATTGAAAAGTCAGCACCCATGATCCTGCAAGGATAGTTTGTAATATCTAGCCTTCCCTAAATAGATTACCTTACACATGCCCCCAATGAAGCCCATAAAACGTCCTGAGGTATACCTTTCTACCCCATCAACTTGGCATCTTACTGCCTAGAAAGACTGAATACTATCCCAGTGCTCACTACCGAAGAAGTCTACTACTCACCCTTCTTCAGGGAGAAAAATGTCTATCTCTCCTTTATATTTTTCCTCTCTTTCTCTAAACCAGTTCCTACTACTGGTTTAATTCCATAAAAATTAAAGATCTGAGATAGACAAAAAATGTATAATTCCATAGAAATTCATGATTAAAAATAGCCTTGGTATCAAACTTAATTAGAAGCATTTAAAAGTAAATTTAGCAAACGGAACAATATCCGTATCATAGGAATCCCAGAAGAGGAAGAGAGAGGGAAAGGTGCTGAAGGAGTCCTGGAACAAATTATAGCAGAGAACTTCCCCAACCTGGGGAAGGAAGTAGATGCGGAAATTCAAGAGGCACAGAAAACTCCCCTCAGATGTAACTTGAATCCATCTTCCACACGACATATTATAGTGAAACTGGCAAAATATAAGGAAAAAGAGAGAATTCTGAAAGCAGCTAGGGAGAAAAGAGCCCTAACATACAAAAGGAAACTTATCAGAGTGGTGACAGACCTATCTACTGAAACTTGGCAGGCCAGAAAGAAATGGCAGGAAATCTTCAATGTGATGAACAGAAACAATATGCAGCCAAGAATCCTCCATCCAGCAAGCCTGTCATTCAGAATAGAAGGAGAGATAAAGTCTTTCCAAATAAACAAAAATTGAAAGATTTTGTCATCACTAAACCAGCCCTACAAGAAATCCTGAGGGGGACTCTCTGAGGGAAATGTTGCAAGGAACGCAAGATACCAGAGAGCACTCAAATAGACAAAATCATGAATGAAAATGGACTGATTACAACCAATCCCTCATAAATACAAGCAATTATCAGGGAATACTACGAAATTTTATATACCAACAAACTGGACAACCTAGAAGAAATGGACATATTCCTAAACAAATACTCACTAGCAAAATTCACACAGGAAGAGATAGAAAATCTGAACAGACCCGTAACGAGTGAAGAAATTGAATCAGTTATTGAAAATCTCCCAACAAATAAGAGCCCTGGACCAGATGGCTTCACTGGGGAATTCTACCAGACATTTAAAACAGAATTAATACCCATTCTTCTCAAGCTATTCCAAAAAATAGAAATCTAAGGAAAACTTGCAAACTCATTTTATGAAGCCAGCATCACTCTGATTCCCAAGCCAGACAGAGATCCAGTAAAAAAAGAGAACTACAGGCCAATATCCTTGATGAATACAGATGCAAAAATCCTCAACAAGATCCTTGCAAATCGAATCCAACAGCACATAAAAAGAATTATCCACCAAGATCTAGTGGGATTCATTTCTGGGTTACAGGGCTGGTTCAACATTCACAAATCAATCAATGTGATACATCACATCAAAAAAGAAAAGATAAAATCCATATGATCCTGTCGATAAATGCAGAAAAAGCATTTGACAAAATAGAACATCCCTTCTTAATAAAGACCCTAGAGAAACTCAGGATAGAAGGAACTTACTTAAGCATCATAAAAGCCATCTATGGGATGCCCTCAGCTAACATCGTCCTCAATGGGGAAAAACGGACAGCTTTCCCCCTAAGATCAGGAACACAACAGGGATGTCCACTCTCACCACTGTTGTTTAACACAGTGCTGGAAGTCCTAGCATCAGCCATCAGACAACAAAAGGAAATCAAAGGCATCAGAATTGGTAAGGAAGAAGTCGAACTTTCACTTTTCGCAGATGACATGATATTCTATTTGGAAAACCCAACAGACTCCACCAGAAGCCTACTAGAACTGATCCAAGAATTCAGCCAAGTTGCAGGGTACAAAATCAACGTACAGAAATCGGTTGTATTTTTATACACCAACAATGAAGCAACAGAAAGAGAAATCAAGAAACTGATCCCATTCGCCATTGCACAAAAAACCATAAAGTTCCAAGGAATAAACCTAACCAAGGATATAAGAGATCTGAATGAGTAAAACTATAGAAAACTTATGAAGGAAATTGAAGAAGACATAAAGAAATGGAAAAACATTCCAGGCTCATGGACTGGAAGAATAAATATAGTTAAATTGTCATTACTACACAAAGCAATCTACACATTCAATGCAATCCCAATCAAATTTGCACCAGCATACTTCTCAAAACTAGAACAAACTATCCAAAAATTTGTATGGAACCACAAAAGACCCCGAATAGCCAAAGTAATAATGAAAAAAAAAACCAAAAAGGGAGGTNATCACCATCCCAGACTTTAGCCTCTACTACAAAGCTGTCATCATCAAGACAGTACGGTATTGGCACAAAAACAGACCCATAGACCAATGGAATAGAATTGAGAACTCAGACCTGGACCCAAAGGTATACAGCCAACTAATCTTTGAGAAAGCAGGAAAGAATATCCAATGGAAAAAAGACAGCCTCTTTAATAGATGGTGCTGGGAGAACTGGACAGCAACATACAGAAGAATGAAACTAGATCATTTTCTCACACCATACACAAAAATAAACTCAAAATGGATAAAGGACCTGAACATGAGACAGGAAACCATCAAAACCCTAGAGAAGAAAGCAGGAAACAACCTCCTTGGCCTCCATCGCAGCAATTTCTTACTTGACACATCCCCAAAGGCAAGGGAATCAAGAGCAAACATGAACTATTGGCATGTCATCAAGATAAAGTTTTCTGCACGGCAAAGGAAACAATCAATAAAACTAGTAGGCAACAGACGGAATGGGAAAAGATAGTTGCAACTGACATATCAGATAAAAGGCTAGTATCAAAAATCCGTAAGGGAACTCACCAAACTCCACACCCGAAAAGCAAACAACCCAGTGAAGAAATGGGCTGAAAACGTCAACAGACACTTCTCCAAAGAGGACATCCAGATGGCCAACAGACACATGAAACGAAACTCAGCATCCCTCCTCATCAGGGAAATACAAATCAAAATCACACTTAGATACCACCTCACACCAGCCAGAGTGGCTAAAATGAGCAAATCAGAGGACTCTAGATGCTGGCGAGGATGTGGAGAAATGGGCACCCTCCTGCACTGTTGGTGGGAATGTAAACTGGTGCAGCCCCTCTGGAAAACAGTGTGGAGGTTCCTCAGGAAATTAACAATAGAACTCCCCTATGACCCATCAATAGCACTGCTAGGAATTGACACAAGGGATAAAGGAGTGCTGATGCATAGGGGCACATGTACCCCAATGTTCATAGCAGCACTGTCCACAATAGCTAAAACATGGAAAGAGCCTAAGTGTCCATCAACAGATGAATGGATCAAGAAGATGTGGTTTATCTATACCATGGAACACTACATGGCAATGAGAAACAATGAAATCTGGCCATGTGTAGCACCATGGATGGACCTTGAGGGTGTTATGCTGAGCGAAATAAGTCAGGAAGAGAAGGACAAATATCATATGTTTGCACGTATAGGAGGATTAGGAGGAACTTGACGGAGGAACAAGAGAGAGAAGAAGGGCGGAAGTGGTGGGGGAAAGGGAGAGAGGCAAACCATGAGAGACTCTTGAATGCTGACAAAAACTGAGGACTGATGGATGTGGGGGGGGGAGAGGGGGATGGGCATGGAGGAGGACAC